TTTCAAAAAATACCGCCAAACGGAAATAGTTTATTTCTTTTTATGCAAAATTTACAATGATTTTCGGCATTAAGCACACAAGGTAGGTGTGAAGGGACAGCAGTTGACCTAATTCAAGTATTGTGCAAAAACGCATGATCGCACCTGCTCGCCTGGTGCGTTTCAACCTGGGTTGTTCAAAAGACGTTTGTTAGTGATATGCCTAAAAATCGTTGAAATATTGTCTGGTCTCGATTTGCATTAAGAATTTCAAGTATCCATGCAAATTTCAAATATCCTTGCGCATACGAAGGTCAAATTTAAATTTGCGAGGTCACACATGGGCAGGAAATACCCTCTCCCGGACTCTTCTTCCGTGTGAGACGACGGAATGGGCAAAAATAGTCCCAGGCTGAGCTTGTGGTGTTGCACAGTGGGCCTCGTGGAGTTTCAAGTTTATAGCATGTGCTGATTACCGTAAAAGAAGGATGACGATTGTTTTGAAAGAGGAACTTTGTTGTTTCCGCACGCTCAATATGGCAATTCGCTGAAGGTTCATTTTGTGATTATGGGAATGCAAACAAGGACAGCAAACAAGCTAGGAAGCTGAAAATTTGCGAGGCTAGTTTCAGACTATGTGCGGTCTCTACGTATGATTATTCTCAAATATGGGCGTCTGTAAGAAAAACTGAACAAGCATTGGCGGGAAGATTACATTCGGAACCAGACAAGATAGGCAACTAAAATTTCGCAAGGACGTTCCTTGGCCACGGGCGACCTATGATTTCAAATTTAGCTGTCACACACCGCCATGCTACAAGAATGGACACGTCAAAAATATTTTTGGCTTGAAGCGATTTTGAGGGCAAGTCGATTTAGGGAGCTGGAATTTTACGTTTGCAAAATATTGATTATAAATTCAGTTTTAAACACGAAGACAAAAGTCACTTAAACTAAGGCCAATGAAGGAATCATTAATCTTAGTTTTTTATTAGCCTTATTTTTATAAGCTTTAGTTTATACTGACTATAAGTTTAATTGGCAGGCTAATAAAAGAATTAATTGAAACTAAAAGCAAAAATCTCTTTCAGTTACTTACCTTGATGTATTCGTCGCTATTTTCAAGCGATGACTTTTTTTGCGCCAATTTTTCCAGCAATCGCTGACAGTACTGTTCAGTTTCTGGCAGTACATTTTCGAACTCTTTGCGACTTTGCTCTAAA